ATGAAATGAAAGAAGCTCTTTGTGCAAATTGATAAAGCAATTTGAGTTTGTCCAGCACCCCAAACGACTTTTACACTGGAAAAACCATCTAGAAATAAGTAAACATTTCTTAAATTAAGTATATTTACGCTTAATTTGAGCAGGTAAATAAGATTATTTGTCAATGGAATTAGTATTTTTACTCTTAAAATAAGATATTTAGATCATATACACTTGAAATCAAACAATGCAGTTGTGTTTTCTTATTATAAATGTAAATTGTCTTGTTCTATTGGCAAAATGTGTCTTTTACATCCTCAATTCAAGAAGAAATGCACTTATTTTTAGAAAAAAATTACTTCTTTAGATTTAGATTTTTTTCCAGTGTAACCTTCAGTAAAACATTTGGTGCATTTGGTGGATCACTTTCTGGAGAATTTTATCCATGATGGTTATGGGACAATCTGACCAGATTGGAAAATTTCCATAATAATGTAAATGCAGAAATACGAAAGAGGATTAGGGCCACTGAAAAAAAAAAGAAAAGTTAACAGATTTTTTTTATTTTATTTCAGTATAGTATGGGGAAAAAGTCAAAATTCTGACTTTAATCTCAGAATTCTGACTTTAATCTCAGAATTCTGACTTTTTTATTGTCAGAATTCAGTCGGAATTCTAAGATTAAAGTCATAATTCTGAGAAAAAAGTCAGAATTCTGAGATTAAAGTCAGAATTTTGAGATTAAAGTCAGAATTCTGAGAAAACAGTCAGAATTCTGAGATTAAAGTCAGAATTCTGAGATTAAAGTCAGAATTCTGAGAAAAAAGTCAGAATTCTGAGATTAAAGTCAGAATTCTGAGAAAAAAGTCAGAATTCAGAGATTAAAGTCAGAATTTTGAGATTAAAGTCAGAATTCAGTGAAAAAAGCCAGAATTCTGAGATTAAAGTCAGAATTCTGAGATTAAAGTCAGAATTCTGAGAAAAAAGTCAGAATTCAGAGATTAAAGTCAGAATTTTGAGATTAAAGTCAGAATTCAGTGAAAAAAGCCAGAATTCTGAGATTAAAGTCAGAATTCTGAGATTAAAGTCAGAATTCTGAGAAAAAAGTCAGAATTCAGAGAAAAATGTAGGAATTCTGAGATTAAAGTCAGAATTCTGACTTTTTTTATTGTCAGAATTCAGTCAGAATTCTGAGATTAAAGTCAGAATTCTGAGAAAAAAGTCAGAATTCTGAGATTTTTCCCATGTTAAACTGAAATAAAAATTTAAAATCAGTTAACTTTTTTTCTTTTCAGTGGCCCTAATCATCTTCCGTACAGAAAAGACAAAAACTCTTTTTTTTTTTTTTTAGTGGCCTATTACACCAATCCTAGTGGTAGGAACTTTATAAGCAGAGAAATGTTGATATAATGAACCTGCATGGTTCATTATATCAACAATAATGTAAATGCAGAAATACGAAAGAGGATTAGGGCAACTGAAAAAAAAAAAAAAAAAAGAAAAGTTAACAGATTTTTTTTATTTTATTTCAGTATAGTATGGGAAAAAAGTCAAAATTCTGACTTTAATCTCAGAATTCTGACTTTAATCTCAGAATTCTGACTTTTTTATTGTCAGAATTCAGTCGGAATTCTAAGATTAAAGTCATAATTCTGAGAAAAAAGTCAGAATTCTGAGATTAAAGTCAGAATTTTGAGATTAAAGTCAGAATTCTGAGAAAACAGTCAGAATTCTGAGATTAAAGTCAGAATTCAGTGAAAAAAGCCAGAATTCTGAGATTAAAGTCAGAATTCTGAGAAAACAGTCAGAATTCTGAGATTAAAGTCAGAATTCAGTGAAAAAAGCCAGAATTCTGAGATTAAAGTCAGAATTCTGAGATTAAAGTCAGAATTCTGAGAAAAAAGTCAGAATTCAGAGAAAAATGTAGGAATTCTGAGATTAAAGTCAGAATTCTGACTTTTTTTATTGTCAGAATTCAGTCAGAATTCTGAGATTAATGTCAGAATTCTGAGAAAAAAGTCAGAATTCTGAGATTTTTCCCATGTTAAACTGAAATAAAAATTTAAAATCAGTTAACTTTTTTTCTTTTCAGTGGCCCTAATCATCTTCCGTACAGAAAAGACAAAAACTCTTTTTTTTTTTTTTTAGTGGCCTATTACACCAATCCTAGTGGTAGGAACTTTATAAGCAGAGAAATGTTGATATAATGAACCTGAATGGAATAAACTGTGATGCAGAACTAATAACAGAAATGGGGACGTTCAAACACGCTGACCTTTACTTTGTTAGAAACATCATAAAAGAAAAGAGCAGTGACGAACATTTCAGGAACTTCTAAAATAATCTGAGCTCAGCATCAGGGAATCAGGAACAAATGCTTGAAGCCATTTTTCTATGATGTGTTTCATGTACCTCTGCAATCAGAACTTGGAACTGAGAATCAGAAGTCTGGATGAAACCAGCAAGGATTGAATAACTGACACGTTTAGGGACCAAGCTACACATGAACTACTGTAATGGAGGGAGGGAAAGATTTTTCTTTGTATAATGCATTGCCTAAAAACTACTGTTGATGCAAGGCAGCCATATTGGTTTCTTAGGTTAATATCAGGAGATTGTCTTTAACACCTTGAGTTCCAAATCCATACAGTTTTTTTTAGATCAATAGTTAAACTGTTCAACTTCTAATTAAAGCTTAATGTGTAATTTACATGAATCATACAAAAAGTATTTGGTTGAACTTGTATATTTGACAAAACATACACAGATCAAGTGTGCTTAATGCTAGAGATTTTATATGTCGGCCATTTTGGTTTTATATGAAAAATGTAGTGTTGATATAAATGATTCCAGAATAATTTAATCACTCAGGCAACGAGGCTTTGACTGCAACAACTGCATCATTTGCATAATGTGACATTAGTGCCTCAAACGTTGTATTCAGGACAGACTTCATGAAAAAGACTAACGCAAAGTAGCAAAGATGCTTCAAAAGCATGTTTTGGTTTGTCTCTCCTAACTATAAACACCCTGGGATGGAAAATAGTACAGGCTTCCAGAGTTACGTCTAGGTTAGCATTTCTGTCATTCTTCTGTTATTGTTTATGGTAGAAATGGCGCCCAGCGTGATACACAAAGTCCCAGATATTGTTTCATAACTGAGCCCTGGTTTAAACATCATCACAGGTTCCTCTCTGTGCTCTTCCTCTGTCTGCATGCTGTTTAAACGAGCAGCTGCATTCTATTAGCAGTCATGGAACACATTTAATTGCACATCTTTTTTTTTTAGCAGTATAAGAATAAAATGGGCCATACATGACTGCAAAGCACTTTGAGTTTTTTTGATCTGCATTCTTTTCAAATTGGGCTTAACAGATTACTTTCTCTTCACTTCTGGGGTTCAGATTTCCTCTAAGTTGATTTCTATTGGTCTGCATAATTGATAGCAACAGCATTTCTATTGGTTAATGTGCACGGAAAGAGCAGACGCTTGTATTGGGCTTGAAGTGAGGAGAATGGGATCTGTAAGACGTCATTTGAAAAGAATGCAGGTCATAAAACTTAATCTGAGAAAGATACGCTTGGAAGATTCTATATAATATCAAAATATAAAATCTCTGAAATTATATGTATATATATATATATATATAAGTTATATATGTATATATATCTGTATTTTTTAGAAACCTTAGCCCTGAGAAACCAGGACTTTTATTTCATTGAGAAGGTTTCAAAGTTTTTTCCTTCGAATTTCCCTTAAAAAATGTCTTCTTATAAATACTTATATATATATTTTACATTATATGAAACTATTAAATCTGTGAAAAACAAAAACTGAAAATATAAAATGTTGAAAATAAAAAAAACTATATATATATATTGGTGAATGTTTTTTTTTTTAAATAAACCTTAAAACTGAGAAGCCAGGTATTGTAAAAATTAAGAATTTTTTCCAATTTTTTTCTTCAAATTTCCATAAAAAAACAAAATCTGTGTTTGTAACATTAATGGAACAAACTTAACTCCACAAGGCTCAGTAAATCCTATGGAAGAGGATTAGGGCCACTGAAAAATAAAAAAGTTAACTGATTTTTACCTTTTATTTCAGTATGATATGTATGGAGGACCAACTCTGCCATATTTAAAAATAAATACAGAAATAAATAAATGCTCAATACATAAATAAGCATACAATTAATTGCCAACAAAAATACAATAAACAAATAAATGTAAGTAGAAATTAAATTATACTCTTTTAATTAGCTTCTATATTTATTTGCCTTTGTAATATTTACCTTATTTATTTTTTTGTCCTTTATAATCTTCAACTTTATTTTTTAATCACTTATATTTTTAAGTATTTATTTATGTGCATGTTATAATATTTTTGTCTGTTTTATTCTTCCTTTGTATTTTTTTTTACCTTAGTTATCTCTTCGCCGCTATTTATTTCTGTCTGCCCTTTTTAAAGAAAGAAGCTAATTAAAAGAGTTATATACATTTATGTCTCACTGTATCATTTTATTTCTACTTACACTTATTTGTTTATTGTATTTTTGTTGGCAATTAATTGTATGCTTATTTATTTATTGAGCATTTATTTATTTCTGTATTTATTTTTAAATATGGCAGAGTTGGTCCTCCATAGACATGAGAAAAAAAGTCAGAATTCGGACTTTAATCTCAGATTTTTGACCAACATTTCCCAATATTAAACTGAAATAAAATTTTAAAATCTGTTGTTTTTTTCTGGTGGCCCTAATCCTCTTCCGTAAAATGCAGAGGTCCAGTCTTTTATTTTTATTTTGCACTTTGTAGATGTTTTATCAGAGACATGAATAACGAATTCATGACTTTTATTTTTAAAGCATATTTTAAAGCATATTTTGCCATTTGCAGATATTTCATCATAGACATGAATAATAAATCCATGTTTGTGTTTTTAAGTTCCGGGGGCGGGGCTCCCTAAGATAGAAGAGGCGGGGCTCCTGTATATGGAGGGGGCGGGGCTAATGAACTTTCCTCCACAGTCTTTGCGCACCAAAGGGTTTGTCTCTCTGCTTTTTACTACAGTTTAAACGTGAACAGACGCAGAGAGAGAAGCAGCCGAAGAAGCAGATCCTACTTTCCACTTCTGCTTTCATCTGTTTTGATTTTTTTTCTTGAAGTCAACCTTCCTGGCGGCCATGGAGAGGCGAAGGACATCAGTTTGGGAAATAAAGGGCATGATTTGGATTTTCTGTTTTCTGTTTGCTGTCTCTGTAGGTAAGCAGTAAATCCCTCTGATATCTGACACTAGATGCTCACTACAGGACACACTTTAACTGACCGTAAACTAAAGTTATTTTAAGATGTTTTATTGCTGTTTTTTTCCTTCAGAAACTTTTAAACTCTGTTTAATTGTGGTTATAACTCTCCAGCAGTCTGCTGACAGCTCCATCCAGCTGTAATTTGATGATTTTAACCACTTTTTTCCCCCTCCTCCTCCTCATCTTCTCTGAAGCTTTATTTTTTTACAAACAGCTGCAGAGGATCACAGCTCATGCAAGAGCGCTTCTGTAAAACCTCTGAGGTGAAAACATTTTCCACATTTCTCGGGTTGCTGCTGTTGTTTTGAGGCAGAACATCTGGCGGCTTCAGGGGCCCCTCCCTGCGGGGAAAGTCACTCCAAAAACACGCGACTCTTTGGGGCCAGTTTGTTTTCTTTTCTTTTTTTAAATTCAGATTTAAATGTCTAGAAATAATGTTTGCAAACAAACAAACAAGGATAATTGCGGAAATCTTGAATGGAAAGTGCTGCTTGATGTCTGTAGGATTGTGCGCGTTTGGATGAGTCTGGAGGAGACGCAGCTGGTGCCTCAGCAGGCGCTGGGTTATCACTTCTAGGCTTCACGGTTAAGTCTATTTAGATATGCAAACTCAAAAGGTCAGTGAAAAGAGGCGATTAGCTGCTTTTACCAGAGATCTGGGGCAAAAAAAGGGTATATTTTTAGTAAAATGACCAATAAGAGGCTGGATGTCGAATACTAGGGCGCATTTAAAGGGATTTAATCAGATATTGGCAGAATCTAAATTGGCCCCACTGTTTAATGCCCTCCTTCCAACATTACACCCCCATTCCCACTAATGTTATCCTGTCATTTCACACCATTTCACTCTCCTGAAAAAGAAAAACAAGTCGAATGAAAAAATCCTCATTAAAGAGCCTCCTTTCTCTTCTGTAACATTATATTTCAGAGCAGCTGCCATGTAATGCTGAGCTATTTCTATATGGGACAGATATGGTATAAATAATGGAGCCCAGATGTGACTCTCTGTAGGATACAGAAAGGACCCTTGCTAATTAACCATGTAAGCTATGGTTGGATTGACAACACTGAGTGATTCTTTCTGTATCTCTGCTTCTGTCTCCTTGAACCCCAGTCGCTCACACTGAGCCTGGTTCTGCTGGAGGTTTCTTCCTGTTAAAAGGGAGTTTTTCCTCTCCACTGTCGCTACAAGCATGCTTTGTGTGAGGGATTGCTGAAGAGTAAATGAGTCGCTGCAATCAGCTTGTTTTCCTTAGATAGAAAACTCTGAATCAAACTGATTGGATGATCTGGTTAATTTTATGACGTGTTGTGATAAATAATAATTATAGAAATAAAGTGAATTGAGTTGATAAAATAGATCCTAGTCGTGTTGCACAGTTTCACATCTTATTGCCAGTCCAGGATCTTGATAAGCCTTAAAGTAAATGGCCAACTCTATAATGTTTTGTATTTAACCAACCGGGCTTTGAACAGAGAGGCCTGACATGAACAGGACCAGACCATCCATGTGTGAACTTTTAACCACCATCATTGTTCATATATGCTTTAAAATTGCCAGGTTTAAAAGTGTAATCTATTTAAATTAAACTGCTACAGGTTATATTATATCCAAATTGCACTTTACCGCCATCTAGTGGTCTGGGTTGATGGTAATTGCTGTATTTAGTTTCATTTTTTTAAGTAACTTTGGTCTACCAGCTTGTTTCAAATCCTCTTAGCAGAAGTTTTTTTTTTCTTGTTTGTTGTCTGACTTTTATGTTACTAGTTAGAAAAGTGGGCGGGGAAAGTGGGAGGAAACGTCACAGCAGGAGTGTCCTTTACGGACTTCCGTACGTCAGCCCTACGCTACACATTCTCCTGACTAGAACAGACTTTTAAATTGAGAAAACCAGAACGTATCTGGATGTTAGACAGGAAGTAAGCATGTTGACATAGTGGGCTAAGAAAAGGTTTGCACACAACAACAAAAAAAAAAGTTAAGTCCTACTTTAAATTGTGTTAATTATTAATACCTTTCTGGACTTTATAGAAAAAGAAAAGCCACAGAAACGACATTTGTAGGCTGTAATAAAATTATTTGGTGAAAACCTTAATTAGAGGGTTCAGAACTGAGAACACGTTCTTTACACTGGAAAACGATCTAGAAATAAGTTAAATGTCCTAAATTAAGTGTATTTACCTTTAATTTGAATAGGTAAATGAGATAGTTTGCCAATGGAATGAGTATTTTTACTCTTAAAATAAGATAATTAGATAATATGCACTTGAAATAAGACAACGCAATTGAGTTTTCTTATTTTAAATGTAAATTGTCTTGTTTTATTGGCAAAATATCTCCCTTTCCTCCTCAATCCAAGAAAAATCCACTTATTTTAAGAAAAAATTATTTGAAAATGAAATCGATTTTTTTTTTTGTAGAACATCTTAGAGATCCATAAAACATTAGCTGCATTGAAAAACAAAAAATAAGACTTGTTCCTACAATTAAAGTTTGTTCTTGTGGATGTGATCCATCTAGTGAGGCTCCCCTCTTATCCCAGGACCTAAATATTGATTAATTGCTACCTGTGTTGGTAAAACCCAAAAACCGGCTCTTGCACAGGTTGTCCATTTCTTTGCAATAGACTTAGACTTAGTCTCAACTTTATTCATCCGTTGGGATTACTCCTTCAGGAAAATTCTGCTCCCAGTTAGGGAAGCACGATATAATGGGCCCCCTATCGGTATCGGCCTTAAAACTGAATATCGGACATCGGCCACCCCACCGATATTTAACCCGATATTTGATCAGCTTCTGAGTTTCTAAAGTCTAAAAAAAAAAAAAAAAAAAATACTACTTCTTCTGCTTCCTCAAAAACTTCTTTTTTACAGACTTAAAAACTTCTAAAGACGAGGGAAAAAATATTGATACATTAAAATATCGCAATATCTTCATATGCTGATATATTGCCATTTAAAAACACCATATCAATCTCTTTTACTAATGAAATATTGCTATATGTCATCGTTATGCTACGAAATCCCCCGAAAATTCACGAAATTTTGCCATATTTTTATATGTTGATATATTGACGCGAATCGATCTATTTTACTGACAAAATCTCAGAAGAATTAGCAAAATATCACGAGAGTTTGTAACAGAACGATGAAATTTCACGAGATTTTGAAAGTAAAATAGATCGATACCGCGTTTTTAAAAATCATTTTGATATCAGCATATGAAAATATATTTGAGTATATTATTTTTCAAAGTGTCAGAAATGGATAACAAAACTGCTATTTTCAATGACTACTTATTTTTGTCCAGCTTTAACATCGGTATCGATATCGGTTATCGGCTACATGAGTTTTAAAATATTGGCATATCGGATATCGGCCAAAATCCCAACATCGTGCATCCCTACTCCCAGTAGCTTATATGGAGTATACAGAGTTAAAGCAAGATGCCACTAAAGATAAAAAATACTAATAATAATCAGCCCTCCCAACCCTTCACACTCAAATTAGTTAGATATTTCTCCTCTTTAATTCCACTTTATGAAATTCAATGTTTACTGATGACTAATTCCTAAAATTAATAAATCAAATTCACCTTGAAACCATAAAAAAAAAACCAATTCATTTTCCCACCAAATGGCTCCTCATAATAGCTGACGTTATTAAGAAATATCATTGCTATATTTGCTGAATTTATCACTTTAAAATAAAATAGCAATAGTTAGGAGTTTAAAAAAGCTTACATAAAGGGAGCAGCAGACATCATTAAACCTTAATAAGTAATATTTGGTTTAGATCTTTAAGAGAATAAAACGGTGAAATTGGATTCAGTTTATTTGAGATAAATAATCCCATGTAGGTTTTTTCTTTTTGTTGTAATTGTTTATTTTTTTCTTTTTGTAGAGAGACTGAGAGTCTCCATTAAGACATAACAAGTCTTTTTGGAAATGCCCTCACCCTCTCTCTGTTAGATCCTCATTGTTTGGGGGTTTCCTTCACTTTAAGGCAACCATGAAAACAGTGGCTTGTGCCACTGCCAGTAATGGATTTCCACTCTGCAAAAATATGACCTGAGTGAAAGCCTGCTGTAATCAGTGGCTCCTTTCCTCTAGATAAGCTTTTAGCTTCTTGTGGAGGACAATGGCATGGAAAAAAATGGGCCAAATAGGCCACAGTGCAATAAATAAATATATTATTCAATAACAACTACAACAAATCGTTTACATTTTCCAACTATAAGTTAAAATCGAAATCTAGATAAGGCATTTTTTCTTAAAATAAGTGCATTTGTTCTTGGATTGAGGAGATAAAAGAGACATTTTGCCAATAAAACAAGACAATTTACATTTAAAAATAAGAAAGCACAATTGCCTTGTCTTATTTCAAGTGCATTTTATCTAATTATCTTATTTTAAGAGTAAAAATACTCATTCCATTGGCAAACTATCTCGTTTACCTACTCAAATTAAGAATAAATACACTTCATTTAAGGAATTTTTACTTATCTCGAGGTCGTTTTTCCAGTGTACTAGATGATACTGATGCAAATTAAAGCATATTTCTACCAAAAATATTAGCTGGGCGATGCATCAAATGTGTCTGTGATACACACTGGAAAAAGGATCTAGAAATATGTAAAAATGTCTTAAATTAAGTGTATTTACCCTTAATTTGAGTAGGTAAATTAAATGATCTGCCAATGGAATGAATATTTTTACTCTTAAAATAAGATAATTAGATAAAATGCACTTGAAATAAGACCACACAATTGTATTTTCTTAATTTAAATGTAAATTGTCTTGTTCTATTGGCAAAATGTCATTTTTACCTCCTCGATTCAAGAACAAATGCACTTATTTTAAGAAAAAATTACTTATCTAGATTTTCATTTTTTCCAGTGCAGACATGAATTATTCCTTAAATCTATTGATTTCCAGATGCATTTCAATTAGAAAA